TATTGGATAATTGCGAGTAACTGAAAATAATTTGCGTTTTGCAAGATTCTATTAGACCGCGCGAACCAATCACAATTGGCAAATTGTAAATCGGTCTGTCCCAGATATGTTACAAACCTTAAAATAATCATCGGTCAAAACAAATATATATATATATATATATATATATATATATATATATATATATATATATATATATATATATATATATATATATATATATATATATATATATATATATATATATTTATAGTCTCGTTAATGGTTTGAGTCATTTATGGTACAGTATGCACTGTAGGGTTAACTGGAAATCCTTTTTTTTATTGAAAATTTAAATTTCTTGAACTTATCAATGTTTATTATTGTATGGTGGGTATTAATAATAATAATACTCTCCCTAATTCACCCCCTTACGAGTGAATTTCAACCCCTGAAGTCGACTGAACGACTTGTGTAAGGGAAGGGACGGCTATTATTATTATTATTATTATTATTTGCCGTGGCGCTCCGGGGCGACTTAAAGATGATTGATGGTGCCATTTGACTTACAGGTGAGGAAAACCCGGAAAACCTCACCCACCATCATCGAGACGGTAATGTATGGCGAATTTTTTTGTTATATTGATTCCTTAAATATTTCTGATGAAATTAAGCTGCTTTAAAATTTAAAATAAAAATAAACATTTTTTAAATTTAAAAATCTGTTGTGTGTCGTATTAATTTATTTTTCTGCTACTGTGCGTTAAAGTACGTATATTATGCGCACTACAGAGTGCATAAAGTTTTACTTTATTTACTAGTGCGTATAGTAAAACTTTTTACGCACTAGTGTGTCAAAAAGACACAATTTTTAGTATTTTGATATGACAAATGACATTTTATTTCAAACTTTTTTTACACGTTAGTGCGTAAAGTAACCTTTGTATCTTTTTTCTTAGTGAGCAATATGTACGGTAGTAGAAATATCGTATTCGTATGTAAAGGCCTTGTTTGAAGGCTACTTTATACACTTATTATAAGCATATGACTATTTTTTGTTATTTTATCAGTAGGTAGTGATGTAGTGATTACAAGCGCTAAAATCGTATGACTTCAGTTCGATGACAGATATGCTCAAGAAATATAAATTTTCAATAAAAAATTAAAAATTAATTGCGGTTTACCGTTATTTTCGAAAAACCGGAAATAAGTCATGACATCACAGTCCACTTAAATCAATTATTTTACAATATTTATTCCAAGCTTTCAACCAAAAAAAAATTGATTCCGATATCTCAATAAGGAAAAAAGAGCGGGTGGAATTATTAAACGGTTTGCTAATAACAAAAATCTTAGATACGCCACTGGTATACTGTAAATGGGCCTTAATAAGAACTGTGTAGCTCACAAATATTTTATACATTCCCATATTTTTTCCATAAACAAATTTACAATAATACATTAAAAAAATATTAACCAATATGACGGTCATTTTGACAGCTGACAGAAAAAATTGAACACAAACTTCTTGTCGGAGAATGTCCCAGAAATTCAAATTTTCAATAAAAAAGGGGTTTTCATTTTAAAATTAAAAATAAATTGCGATTTCCAGTTATATCCGGGAAAATCGGAAGTAATCCATGACGTTAGAGACCAATTGGATCCAGTAAATGAAAGTATCTGTTATAAGCTTTTAAACAAAAAAGTTTTCATTCCGATATCTCAATTAACAACGAAGATAAAAGCGGATAGAATTATTAAATGGTTTGCTAATAATAAAAATGCTTAGATACGCCACTGGTATACGGTAAATGGGTCACAATGATAATTTTGAAGCTTATAAAGATTTTATAAAGATCATACATTTCTATATTTTTTTCCATAAACGAATTAATAGTAACATGCTTAGAAACAATATTATCCAATATGGCGGCCATTTTGACAGCTGCCAGAAAATTTTTAAAACACGATTATTATACAAAAATGTCTCAGAAATTCAAATTTAGAATAAAAAAAGTGGGTTTCAATTTAAAAATAAAAAATAATTTACGATTTTCTGTTATTTCCGGAAAAACCGGAAGTAAGCCATGACGTCACAGAATAACTAAATTAGTCATAAGAAAGTACTTGTTCCAGTCTTTCTAACAAAATAAAAATATTTTGATATCTCAATAAATAACGAAGATAAGGGGGGGTGGAACTTTTAAGTGGTCCACCCTGTATAACTCCCATCTTTAAAAAGGAAATAAGTCTAATGTATCTATTATCCAGTTAGTATCCTTAGTACTGTACGCAAACTTCAACAATAGATTTGTTTGTTAAAAAATCTCTTTTTGTGTCCTTAATTTATAGGGAGATATGACTTATTAATTATTAATTTATTATGTACACTTGTTAGTTTTAAATTTGTATATTTTATCCAAAGTGTAAAGATATTGGGCACTGCCCGTTAATATTAACTAAATAAATAAACTTAAAAAAAATATAGGGACTGTGAAAATGATATCGTGAATTTAGCACT